GAAATTCTGGGCTTGATGGATTCTCCCACCTCAGTCTCCCAAATAGCTGGGACCACAGGTATGAACCACCATGCCTGGCTATTTTCTTTTAAATTTTTTGTAGAGACAAGGGTCTTACTATGTTGCCCAGACTGATCTCAAACTCCTGGCCTCAAGCCATCCTCCCACCTTGGCCCCCTAAGGTGCTGGGATTACAGGCCTGAGCCACTGTGCTGGGCCGAGATCTCTTTCTCTTCAGGCATGGCTGTTTCCAGAGTCAAAGTTGTGGAGGGCGGAGGCAGAGGAAGCAACCAGAATCCTGGCCCATGACCCACTTCTGCCACTCTGGGTTGTGCAAGCGTGGAGAGAAAAGGGTCCGAGGGCAGGTGGGAGGAGGAGGGACAGGGACTCACCGCGGTTGCAGGAGCCCCGGTGGATAGAGAGGGTGTCCAGGGCGATGTCCAGGTAGGCAGTGTTACCCCGTGTTCCTTCAAACATCAGCTGCAAGAGGAGGGTAAGGGGACCCTGGCCCCTAGTTTCCTTCCTGAATTCAGATGGCCTGGCCCCCACAATCCCCTTCTGCCACATCCCAAGCCCCAGATTCCCCAACACCCAGATTCCCCCCAAGGTCCCATGATTTGCCCCTGGACTTACCCGGGTGGGCAGGGTGAACCCTGCAGGCACAGTGACACTAGTGGGCATCCAGGAGGGTCTCTGCGTGTTCCTGTGTTTCCAGAGCACGTGGGGGCGGTGGCCCTGTTCACTCAAGAGCTGCAGCAGCCTGAGCTGGGCACCCCAAGACAGCCCAAACATGCGGTAGGCGAAGCGCACGCAGAGGGGTCCTTCCTCCCACAGGTCAGGGCTGCGCAGGCGGGCCACTCCGCCCCGGTGAAAGTTGTTCGATTCCATGTGCAGATAGCTGCCCTCTGCGGGAGGCAGAGCCCATGACCCTAAGGCCCAGCCACCCCCGAGGGCTGCCCCCACCTATCCACTTCTCTTGCCACCCCTACCTCCCAGCCACCTCCCTGCTCACTGACCCGAGCGCCTCACCTCCATTGGGGTACCCCCCAGGGGGCCCAGTGGTGCCGGCAGGAGAGGGCCCGCTGGCTCGAACCCAGTCTCCATCATCTGCAGACACTTGGGACCAGTCACAGAGGGGTTTGGTGTCATCTTCAAAATCACACTGGGTAAGGACGTCTAGGAAGAATGGGTCACTGAGGTTTCAGAGAGGGCAGGGGCAGGGCCCAGAGTTACATGGGGAGATGGAAGTAGCAAGATTGCTAAGCTTAGAGAAAGCTACCACAAAATTAGCTGGGTGTGGTGGCGCACACCTGTAGTCTCAGCTACTTGGGAGGCTGAGGCAGGAGAATCGCTTGGATCTGGAAGGCAGAGGTTGCAGTGAGCCAAGATCAAGCCACTGACCTCCAACCTGGGCAACAGATTGAGACTCCATCTCAAAAAAAAAAAAAAGAGAGAGAGAGAGAGAAAAGGCCGGGTGCGGTGACACACCTGTAATCCCAGAACTTTGGGAGGCTGAGGCAGGTGGATCACGAGGTCAGGAGTTTGAGAGCAGCCTGACCAACACAGTGAAATGCCAACTCTACTAAAAATACAAAAATTAGTGCTCGCTTCGGCAGCATATATAGTAAAATTGGAAAGACACAGAGATTAGCATGGCCCCTGCACAAGGATGACACGCAAATTCGTGAAGCATTCCGTTTTTTTTTTTTAATATATAAAAAATACAAAATTAACCCAGTGTGGTGGTGCACACGCATAATCCCAGCTACTCGGGAGGCTGAGGCAGCAGAATCGCTTGAACCCAGGAGGCGGAGATTGCAGTGAGCCAAGATCATGCCACTGCACTTCAGCCTGGGCAAAAGAGGGAGACTCCGTCTCAAAAAAAACAAAAGAAAAGAAAACGAAGGCCGGGCGCGGTGGCTCAAGCCTGTAATCCCAGCACTTTGGGAGGCCGAGGCGGGTGGATCACGAGGTCAAGAGATCGAGGCCATCCTGGTCAACATGGTGAAACCCCGTCTCTACTAAAAATACAAAAACATTAGCTGGGCATGGTGGCGCGTGCCTGTAATCCCAGCTACTCAGGAGGCTGAGGCAGGAGAATTGCCTGAACCCGGGAGGCGGAGGTTGCGGTGAGCTGAGATCACGCCATTGCACTCCAGCCTGGGTAACAAGAGTGAAACTCCGTCTCCAAAAAAAAAAAAAGAAAGAAAGAAAAGAAAACGCTTCAGACTTGGAGTCCAGAACAGAGACTGTTCGTGTTTTGCAGAGACGAGGTCTCACTATGTTGCCCAGGCTGCTCTCAAACTCCTGGCCTCAAGCCATCCTCCCACCTTGGCCTCCCTAAGTGTTGGGATTACAGGTATGAGCCACAGTGCCCGGCCCAGGCAGAGATTTGAAAGAATCTTTTAGGAGAAATCTGGGGCTGGGAGAATGGATGAAATGACAAGCTCAGGGGTCATGAACTGAGGCTGGAGGATTGGACTTGGCCTGGCAGGACCCGTTTTGTAGTTCTGGCTGATGCTCGGAGGGGACTGGAAATGGCCGCTCCTGGGCTAGGAACTCAGGGACTGGCGTTCTGGTGGCAGAGCGTGGTTCTGAAGAGGGAGAAGAAATCTTAGCACTCCTGGTCTCCAACTCACCATTGTCCGTAGAGCTGTGAATGACCAGCTTCTGGTCCGGAGGTTTCTCTCTCCTTGGGAGTGGTTGGGAGAAAGCAAAAATGCAACCTTTGTCATTATCAGGAATTATAAGACTCAATGATTTGAAGTTTTCTGAGTGGTCACATAAGGATGACCAGAGTTTATGCAGTGAATGTATGTAACTTGACTTTTTCTCTTTTTCTTTTTTTTTTTCCCAGCACCCAGACTGGAGTGCAGTAGTGCAATCACAGCTCACTGCAGGCTCAAACCTCTGAACTCCAACAATCCTCCCACCTCCCAAGTAGCTGGGACTACAGGAGCATGCCACCACGCCCAGCTAATTTATTTTTAGTTTTTGTAGAGATGGGGTCTTTCTATGTTGTGCAGGCTAATCTTGAATGCCTGGCCTCATGCGATCCTCCCACCTTGGCCTCCCAGATGGCTGGGATTACAGGTGAGAGCCACTGCGCACAGCCATCCTATTTTTGTTGTTGAAGTTCTACTTGTTTAAATCCTCCCAAACATAGTGCAGGACATCAAGGCATCCATCATTTTTTTCTTTTGAGACCGAGTTTTGCTCTGGTTGAACAGGCTGGAGTGCAATGATGTGGTCTCAGCTCACTGCAACCTCCGCCACCCAGGTGGTTCAAGTGATTCTCCTGCCTCAGCCTCCCAAGTAGCTGGGATTACAGGCATGAGCTACCATGCCCAGCTACTTTTGTATTTTTAGTAGAGATGGGGTTTCACCACGTTGGTCAGGCTGGTCTTGAACTTCTGACCTCAGGCGATCTGCTCACCTAGGCCTCCCAAAGTGCTGGGTTACTGGCCTGAGCCACCATGCCTGGCTTGACATCCATTATTTCTTTGCTGCCTTGTACTTGAAGTCTCTCTCATCAGCCGGGTCTACCCTGGGTCTTGCCCATTTCCTGAGGGCCTGACCCCCCCATCCTTCCCTCCTAGCCTTAGATCTGTCTTCCAGCTCTACACCTCCTTTGTCCCTCCTCACATTGTAGCCCTGTCCTGCTCCCAGAACCCACTCCTTAATTCCAGGCTCTGGGGCTGTGCAGCTCTCCCCATTTCTGTTCATCAGTCAAGATCAACCTCTTTCCATCCCACTGGGCTCCCACCTTCCTCTCCAGGTCTTTTTTTCTTTTCTTTTGAAATGGAGTCTCCCTGTGTCTCCAGGCCAGGCTGGAGTGTAGCGGCGCAATCTCAGCTCACTGCAACCTCCATCTCCAGGTTCAAGTGATTCTCCTGCCTTGGCCTCCCAAGTAGCTGGGACTACAGGCACGCACCACCACGCCCAGCGAATTTTTGTATTTTTTTTTTTTTTTTTTTTGAGTCAGAGTCTTGTTCTGTCACCCAGGCTGGAGTGCCATAGCATGATCTCGGCTCACTCTGCCTTCTGGGTTCAAGCGATTCTCCTGCCTCAGCCTCCTCAGTAGCTGGGATTACAGGTGTGCACCACCACGCCCAGCTTTTTTTTGTATTTTTAGTAGAGGCAGGCTTTCACCATGTTGGCCAGGCTAGTCTCAAACTCCTGAGCTCATGGCTGGTCTCAAACTCCTGACCTCGTGATCCGCTTGCCTTGGCCTCCCAAAGTGCTGGGATTACAAGTGTGAACCACCGCGCCTGGCTAATTTTTATATTTTTCGTAGAGACAGGTTTTCACCATGTTGACCAGGATGTCTCAATCTCTTGACCTCATGATCCGCCTGCCTCGGCCTCCCAAGGTGCTGGGATTGCCACTACGCCTGGCCACTCTCCAGGTCTTTTGTAGTTAGTCTGCTCGCCCCTCCACTTCTGCCCTTCCTTATTCTTTAGAGCCACTCTCAACTTACCCCGGTTTATTATTACCCCCTGGGCCCAGCTTACCTCAGAGGGGCAGGCATGTGGCCCTGGCCCCAGGCAGCCCCCACCAACAGCACCAGAGTCCAGACTGTACGAACCATGAGGAACCTCAGCGGTAGAGGGAAGAGGGAAAGGGAAACCTCAGGGAAGAGGGAAAGGGCACGATCAGGAGCCCAGACCACTTTTATATGCCCCTGACCTCCCTAGCTTGGCATCCTTCCAGAGAAACACAGAAAGCGCTGGGAAATTAAAACTATAACAGCTGAAATTTACCTTCTAGTAGAAGCGTCTTAGATTGAAATCAAGGGAAATAAACTAGAGCAAAGGAAAGAAAAGAGAGAAAGAAAGAAAAAGAAACAGTTTGGAGGATCAATCTAGGGAGTCTAACCTCAAACAAAAGTTCAAAAAAAGAGAACGAAGGAGAAGAAATTATTACTTTAAAAAGAAAAACACACAAGAAAATGTCCAGAACTGAAATATATGAGTCTCTAGATTAAAAAGGTATTTAGGATGGTAAATGCACAGAGACCCATGGAACGACTGGATTTCAGAATATCAGGGGTGAAGAGAAGATCTGAAAACACTTTCAGAAAGAAAATAACAGGTCATATACCAAGGATCAGAAATCAACATGGCACCCGGCTTTTCACTAGCAACCATGGAGTCTCGGAGGCAGTGGAACATTGTCTACAGAATTCCAACAGAAAACCATTTCAAACCTAAAATTCTATAACTGGCAACAATGGCAACTGGAGAGTTAGGTGAAGAAAGGACTCCAAATGGCCGGACATGGTGGCTCACACCTGTAATCACTTGAGGTCAGGAGTTTGAGACCAGCCTGGCCAACATGGTGAAACCCCATCTCTATTAAAAATACAAAAAAGTAGGCAGGCATGGTGGCACATACTCATAATCTCAGCTTCTCAGGAGGCTGAGGCACGAGAATCACTTGAACCTGGTAGGCGGAGGTTGCAGTGAACCGAGATCGTGCCTCTGCACACCAGTCTAGGTGACAGAGACTCCATGAAAAAAAAAAGGAAACGGAAGGAAAGGAGAAAAGAAAATAAAAAAAGAAAGAAAGGAAAGAAAGAACGAAAGAGCTTTCCCGAGCTTGGAACTTCGTTAGCCGCGATGAGTTTCCTGGCCGCTGCATTCCTACTCCTGGTGTTCAGCGCAGCCGCTCAGGCCGAACCAGTGCAGTTCAAGGACTGCGGTTCTGTGGATGGAGTTATAAAGGAAGTGAATGTGAGCCCATGCCCCACTCAGCCCTGCCAACTGAGCAAAGGACAGTCGAACAGTGTCAATGTCACCTTCACCAGCAATATTCAATCTAAAAGCAGTAAGGCCGTGGTGCGTGGCATCCTGACGGGCGTCCCAGTTCCCTTTCCCATTCCTGAGTCTGATGGCTGTAAGAGTGGCATTAACTGCCCCATCCAAAAAGACAAGACCTATAGCTACCTGAATAAACTACCAGTGAAAAGTGAATATCCCTCTATAAAACTGGTGGTGGAGTGGCAACTTCAGGATGATAGAAACCAAAGTCTTTTCTGCTGGGAAATCCCAGTACAAATCGTTACTCATCAAGTGCCTCATTGAGTTCAGTGCATCTGGCCAACGAGTCTGCTGACTCTTGACAGCACCTCCAGCTCTGCTGCTTCAACAACAGTGACTTGCTCTCCAGTGGTATCCAGTGATTCGTTGAAGAGGAGGTGCTCTGTGGGAGAAACTCAGCTCTGGATGGCTGGTTGTCAGTGGCTGTCTTATGTTTCTTTTTCTATCTTGGGTCGTTTTCATTAAATGCAGCACTTGGTTAACAGATGTTTAATTTTTTTTTTTTTAACATATGCCCTCTTTCTACACCTGGAAGTGTACCCTTGAATAAATAAAGACTCATTTGTCTTGTTTTGTTAAAAAAAAAAAAAAAAGAAAGAACGAAAAAACGAACGAACTGCAAATGCCTCCTGGCAAATCACTGAGAAAAATAGGTCACAGAGGAAGAGACACAAACAGCCAGCAAACATTTCAAAACATGTTCTGCTTCACTAGTAATAAGGGAAATGCTAACCAAAACTATGACTCAAATATTGACCAAAAAAAAAAAAAGAATTGTTTTGAGACAGGGTCTCATTCTGTCACCCAGGCTGGAATGCAGCAGCACAATCTTGGCTCACTGCAGCCTCAACCTCCCAGGCTCAGGTGATCGTCCCACCTTTGCCTCTGGAGTAGCTGGGACTACCGGCACATGCCACCAAGCCCAGCTAATTTTTGTATAGTGTTTGTATAATGTTTGCCCAGGCTGGTCTCAAAGTCCTGGGCTCAAGTGATCTGCCTGCTTGGGCCTTCCAATGTGCTGGAATTATAGGTGTGAGCCACTGTGCCCAGCCAAGAAAAATCTGAAAGATTGGTGGTACGGAGTATTGGCCAGGATGCAGGTGGACACGAGCTCAGTGATGATAAGACCGCAGGTTGGTGGCCAGGTGCAGTGGCTGGTAATCCCAAGTGCTTTTTGGAGGCCAAGATGGTAGGACTGCTTGAGACTAGAGACCAGCCTGGGCAAAACAGTGAGACCCTGTCTCTACAAAAAAATTAAAAAATTAACCAAGCATGGCAGTATGCACCTATAGGTCCCAGCTAGTTGGGAGGTTGAGGCGGAAAGACCCAGGCGTTTGAGGCTGCAGTGAGATGATCAAGCCACTGCACCCCGGCCTAAGCAACAGAGCGAGACCCTGTCTCAAAACAAAACAAAAAAGGAATGTTGGTGAAAACCTTTTTTGTTTTAGACAGTCTCACTCCGTTGCACAGGCTGGAGTGCAGTGGCACCATCACAGCTTTCTGCAGCCTCAACCTCCCAGGCTCAAGCAGTCCTCCCACCTCAGCCCCTTGGGGCAGCTGGGATTACAAGCCCCACCGGGGCTAGCTAATTTTTGTATTTTTTTTTTTAGAGACAGTGTCTCACTATATTGCCCAGGCTGGTCTCAAACTCATGGGCTACAGTGATCTACTTGCCTCAGCCTCCCAAAGTGCTGAGATTACAAACATGAGCCACTGTGCCCTGCCGGTGAAAACTTCTTAAAAGCATTTGTTTTCTGTTTTGTTTGTTTTGTTTGTTTGAGGAGGACTCTTGCTCTGTCACCCAGACTGGAGAGCAATGGCACAATCTGGGCTCACTGCAATCTCTGCCTGGGTTCAAGAAATTCTCTTGCCTCAGCTTATCGAGTAGCTGGGATTAAAGGCATGTGCCACCCCACCTGGCTAATTTTGTATTTTTAGTAGAGACAGGGTTTCATCATGTTGGTCAGGCTGGTCTCAAACTTCTGACATCAGGTGATCCACCTGCCTTGGCCTCCCACAGTGTCAGGATTACAGGCATGAGCCACCGTGCCTGGCCAGAAACAACTTTTATTTTTTTTGTTGTTGTTGTTGTTGAGGTGGAGTTTTACTCTTGTTGCCCAGGCTGGAGTGCAATGGCACGATCTCAGCTCACTGCAACCTCTGCCTCCTGGGTTCAAGCAATTCTGCCTCAGACTCCTGAGTAGCTGAGATTACAGGCATGTGCCACTACACCCAGCTAATTTTTGTATTTTTAGTAGAGACAGGGTTTTAGCATGTTGGTCAGGCTGGTCTCAAACTCATGACTTCAGGTGATCCGCCTGCCCTGGCCTCCCAAAGTGCTGGGATTACAGGTGTGAGCCACTGCACCCGTCCCTAGAAAACTTCCTAGAAGGCATTTGACAATGACCATTGAGCTGTCAAATGTGTCTATCTTTACCTACCATTTCCTTTCTAGGAATCTTGCTACAGAAATATATGCACTTTGCACAAATTTGTGCCTACCTAAAGATGTTAACTGCACCATTGTTTACAAGAGGAAAAGTTATCACGATAAATATTTATCAGTAGGCATGTGTTTGGATCATATTAAGAAATACGGTTGGGTACGGTGGCTCACGCCTATAATCTCAGCACTTTGGAAGCCCAAGGCAGGAAGATTGCTTGAACCCAGGAGTTCGAGACCAGCTTGGGCAACGTAGCAAAACCCACCCCCTGCCACTAAAAATACAAAAATTATCTAAGCATGGTGGTGTGCACCTGTAGTTCCAGCTACTCAGGAGGCTGAGGTGGGAGGGTCACCTGAGCCCAGGAGTTCAAGGCTGCAGTGAGCTATGATTGCACCACTGTACTCCAGCTTGTGCAACACAAGGAGACCCTGTTTCTAAAAACAAATAAATAAAAGAAGAGCGCAGTGACTCATGCCTGTAATCCCAGCACTTTGGGAAGCTAAGGCAGGTGGATCACAAGGTCAGGAGTTCAAGACCAGTCTGGCCAACATAGTGAAACTCCATCTCTATTAAAAATACAAAAAAATTAGCCAACTGCAGTGGTGAGCACGTGTAATCCCAGCTACTTGGGAGACCTAGGCAGGAGAATCGAATGAACTAGGGAGGCAGAGGTTGCAGTGAGCCAAGATCGTGCCATTACACGCCAGCCTGGGCAACAGTGTAAGACTGTCTCAGAAAAAAAAAAAAGAAAAGAGGCTGGGCATGGTGGCTCACGCTTGTAATCCCAGCACTTTGGGAGGCCAAAGTGGGTGGATTACCTGAGGTCAGCAGTCCAAGACCAACCTGGCCAACACAGTGAAACCCCATCTCTATTAAAAAAAAAAAGCTCTTTGCAGTCCCCGGGACACCTGCTCAAATGAGACTGAAGGGCCTCACCATGGAATGCCAACAGAGCCCAGGCAGGGGTCAGATCTGAGGTCAGAGAGCCCCTCTGCCTGTTTATGTCAGAGCTGCAGGTATCAAGGGTCTCCATCCCAGGCCCTTGTCCACCCCTCCTCCATACCAGGTTAGCAGAAGAATCAACAGAGGGGCCAGGGCCAGGAAATGGTTGACCCAGGGAAGAGCAGCAGAAGACACTGATCCCAGCCCTTCCTGTTGGACAATAAATCCCCTGATGGCTGCTTTTGCTGGCCTCCCTTTGGGACCACAGAGCTGGGGTCACAGCTCCCAATCCATCTGGAGGTAGGGGTGGGGAGCTCATGGCAGGACAGGAAGGTGGGCAGGACCATTGGGGCCTGTATTTTAGGAAGCCAGGAACCAGCAAGATCCCAGGGACTGGCAACCTTGACAAGACTGGCAGCTCCAGGAACAGGTGTGAGAGACCTTGAGATGTGGAAAACCCCTGGAGAGAACTGGAGCTCAGTCCTAAATTTGCTGTGTGTTTTTGGGCACTTTTCTCACCCTCTCTGTGTCTTAGTTCCTTCCTCTGTAAGATTGGGGAGGAGGCTTGATCAGTATAACCAGGGTTTTTTTAAAGCCAGAAATCTATGATGTTGGCCGGGTGTCATGGCTCATGCCTGTAATCCCAACAATTTGGGAAGCCAAGGCGGTTGCATCACCTGAGGTCAGGTGTTTGAGATCAGCCTTGCCAATGTGGTGAAACCCCATCTGTAATAAAAATACAAAAATTAGCTGGGCATATTGGGACTTGAATAGCTCCCAGCTATTCAGCAGGCTGAGGCAGAAGAATCGCTTGAATCCTGGAGGTAGAGGTTGCAGTGAGCTGAGATCGCACCACTGCCTTCCAGCCTGGGCAACAGAGTGAGAATCTGTCTCAAAATATAATAATAATAATAGAAGAAAGAAATAGAAATCTATGTGTGGCGGTCACTTTTTTTTTTTTTGAGACAGTGTCTGCCTCCATTACCCAGGTTGGAGTGCAGCGGTGCGATCCTAGATCACCACAGCCTCAGCCTCCCAAGTAGCTAGAACTACAGCCTACTTTTAGTAGCTCAGCTCATTTTTACAAACATTTTTTATAGAGACAGTGTCTCACTGTGTTGACTAGGCTGGTCTCGAACTACCAGCCTCAAGTGATCCTCCCACTTTGGCCTCCCACAGTGCTGGGATTACAGGTGTACACCACCGTGCCTGGTCACGTAATTTTTGTTGTTGTTGTTTTGCCACTGTTGCCCAGGCTGGAGTGCAATGGCGTGATCTTGGCTCACTGCAACGTCCGCCTCCCGGGTTCAAGCGATTCTCCTGCCTTAGTCTCCCGAGTACAGTAGCTGGGATTACAGGCGCCCACCACCACGCCCAGCTAGTTTTTGTATTTTTAGTAGACACCGGGTTTCCCCATGTTGGTCAGCCTGGTCTCTGCAAGGCTCTATTATCGGTTCTAATCCTGAGAGCGTGCCACGGAACGACTCGCTGTTTTCATGAGCGCCTGGGTACAGACAGGCTGAGGCCCAAAATGGCATCAGCGCCAAGTGAGGACGGGGTAGGGTGAGAACCACAGATGTCAGAGATTGGATGTGTTGTTGATTATAACCATAATCATAGCTCAGAGGAAACTTCCCATTCCTGGATGGCACTCAAAGAGCCTCCAAAATCTGGCAACACCCTCCTTGGGAATCTGCTTCTCAGCACAGACTCTGGGCCTCACTTAGTTCTTCTAGCTGCTGCGGTTCTTCCCTTCCCCAGCCTCTTGGCATTGCACAGCTTAGCACTCCGTCCCATACCAAAATGACTGTGTCTGAATTAATATGTATCAAGCCCAGGTGTGGTCACTCATGCCTGTAATCCCAGCACTTTGGGAAACCAAGGTGGGCAGATCACCTGAGGTCAGGAGTTCGAACCAGCCTGGCCAACATGGCAAAACCCCATCTCTACTACAAAAAAAAAAAAAAAAAAAAAAAAAAAAAAAAAAAAAAAAAAAAAAAAAAAAAACCCACAAAAATGTTAGCCTGGTGTGATGGCATGTGCCTGTAATCTAAGCTACCCGGAGGCTGAGGCACAGGAATTGTTTGAATCCATGAGGTGGAGTTTGCTGTGAGCCGAAATTGTGCCACTGCCCTCCAGCTTGGGTGGCAAAGCAAGAAGACCCTGTCTCAAAAAATAGTCT